AGACTCAAACATCAAATCGCATCTCTTATTTTTATCATATGTTTAATCATTTATATATTTCTTTCTTAAAAATATCACATCACTCATTTCTATAATATATTTAATCATTTAATATTTGATTAATTTGTAATTAATATATTTTAAAAAAATTAATATAATAAGATCGATTTTTTGGACGCTTGAATATTTTATTTTATTCAAATAAGATACATCTCAACACAAACAATTAACTTTCCATTCACTTTCCTTCCTATTTTGGAGGGATTGATTTTGGTGAGTTGAAAGGAAAGTTAATCTATCTACTTTTTTATCCTTCCTACTTTCATTTCTTACCAAACATAATGTTTTATTTATTCCTCCAACTTTCCATCCTTTTAATTTTCTATCCTCCCACTTTTTCATCGTATCAAACGAAACATAAGTCTAATGATAGTTCGATTATTTGATAAACGTTTTTACAAATGTAATACGTCAGGAATTCCAATATAGTACGATTACTCTTGTGGGACCACAATTCATATATTTACCCTATAATAAAAATTATTTGTACACTTATTAAGCGGGGAGAAGGCTACGGTACATCCATAGGAATTTTTGGTACCATACCAAAAATTTCAAATTACAACGTTAATGATATGTTTACTAAATTTATGGCATATTTACACAAGTTGGTAACAAGACAAGACATTTAAATGACAAGACAAAACATATTTTTGAGCTGTCATTAAGTCAATTGAGGGCAAAATTACAACATTAGTGGAAAGTTTACGACTATAGTGAATAAAATTATAACATTAGTGAAAATTTTACAACAGTAGTGAATAAAATTACAAAATTTATGGGAATATTTACAACTTCAGTGGTATATTTATCAAATTTATGAGAATATTTACAACTTTGGTGATATGTTTACCAAATTTGTGAAAATCTTTACAACTTCAATGAATTCAATTATTTACAACTTCATGGAGAGATTTGATCGATCAAGATTTGATCGATCATGGAGATATATTCGATCGATCGTGGAGAGATTTGATCAATACACACTTGTGTGTGTTTATTTTATGAATATTTTACAACTAATTCAAGAAGATATACAACTTCAATTGATCAATTACTACTTTTATGGGAATATTTATAATTTCAATTGATTCTTTATGAGAATATTTACAACTTCATAGAGAGATTTATAATTTCAGTGGTATATTTATCAAATTTGTTAAAATATTTATAACTTCAATGGTATGTGTTACCAAATTTGTGAAAAATCTTTACAACTTCATAGGAAGATTTGATCAATTGTTGAGAGATTTGATCGATCACAAACTTACTGTTTTTTAAAAAAATTTGGGGGGAACTACTTCAGCCTTACGATAGATCACAAGATCTTAGGATAGATCGCAAATATTTTGGAGATAAAAAATAATAATAATTTTGATATATTCTAAAAAATAATAAAAATTTTTAAAAAAATTTAAAATTAAATTTTTATTAAACATTGTTTTGATAGATCAATTACACATATTTTATTTATCATTTTTGTGGGAATATTTATAATTTGAATGGATTCTTTATGGGAATAATAACAACCTTAGTGGTATGTGTTACCAAATTTATTTGTTTAATTGATCTATCAAAAATATGTTTAATAAAAATTTAATTTTAATTTTTTTAAAAAAATTTATCCAATTGGAGATTTATCCAATTTTTATCCAATATTTTTTTAAAAAATTTATCCAATTTTTTTAAATTAAAATTAAATTTTAACTCAAATTTTAAAATTGAATTTTGAAAAACCCAGTTTTTATAAAAAAAAATTAGATTTAAAATTGGATTTAAAATTTGATTTTATAAATTTTCAAAAAAAGTTTAAAAAAATATGTGTAAGTGATATATCAAAAATATGTTTAATAAATATTCAATTTTAAATTTTTTTAAAAATTTATTATTATTTTTTAGAATACATTAAAATTATTATTCGGAATATATCGAAATTATTATTTTTTTTATATCCAAAATATTTGCGATCCATCCTAAGATCTTGTGATCTATCGCAAGGCTGATGTAGTCTCCCCCAAATTTTTTTCAAAAATAGTAAGTTTGTGATCGATCAAATCTCCAGACGATTGATCAAATCTCCCCATGAAATTGTAAATATTTGAATCTATTGAAGTTGTAAAGATTTTTACAAATTTGGTAAATAACCATTGAAGTTATAAATATTTTCACAAATTTGATAAATATACCACTAAAATTATAAATCTCCCTATGAAACTATAAATATTCCCATAAAAAATCTACTGAAGTTGTAAATATTCTCATAAAAGTGGTAATTGATCCATTGAAGTTGTTTATTTTCTTGGATTAATTGTAAAATATTCATAAAATAAGCACGCACAAGTGTGTATTGATTAAATTTCTTCACAATCGATCAAATCTCCCCATGATCAATCAAATATATCTCCACAATCGATCAAATCTCCACTTGAAGTTGTAAATATTTGAATCCATTGAAATTGTAAAGATTTTTACAAATTTGATGAATATATCATTGAAGTTGTAAATATTTTCACAAATTTGATAAATATTCCCACAAATTTTTTAATTTTATTCACTATTGTTGTAAAATTTTCACTAATGTTATAATTTTGTTCATTACACTCGTAAACTTTCCACTAATATTGTAATTTTGCCTTCAATTGATATAATGGCGGCTCAAAAATATATTTTATCTTATTACCAATCGATATAAATATGGCATAAATTTAATAAATATACCATTAATATTATAATTTGAAGTTTTCGATATGATGCCGAAAATTCCTACGATGTACCGTAGCCTTCTCCATTAAGCAGACACTGAAAGATTCATGGAGCAGAATTAAAGGCAGCTCCACATTTGTATGCGTCACAACATGTATTTGCAAATTTCCCCCATTATCTTATCCAAATTACATCTTATCCAGAATTTCTCGGCCAAGTGCCTGTAACTAAAAACCCGGCGACTGAATCGAACTCAACTCCGGTCGAGAGCCATTCTCGCACCGCCACAGACCACTGTAAGTAAAACCCGCGCTTCTCTCGGTAATAAAATAAGCCCAGAGAGAGAGAGAGGGGGGCAGGTTTTTTCTCTTGGTCGCCCGTCCTTCTCTCTCATGTCACAACACCCGTTACAACCGTCACAAAAAAGCGTCTTCGTGTTCGAACTCTACCGATAATCCATTACGATGTCGTTTTTAATATTGGCTCTCCTCTTGTTGCCACCTAACCTTATCGCCGTCGAATTTGAACCAGAGCCTTCCATTTTCTAAATTCTTAAAATATTTTGAGATGACACCGAACAAAAAGTGTGCAATAAAGGATCGATTTATTGCCACGTAAGATCTTCACTACACTTTATCCTACGTGGCAAACGATATGAACCGTCGGCCACATATTTTAATCAAGATGCTTATCGTGAAGATTACTTAATTAAATGTGGTGGAATGACAGTTATATCCTTCTCGAATTTTTTAATGTCTCTCAGATCTGAATGATCTTTGTTATTTGATTGGGATGAGGTCATTAAAGGAATAATAATAAAAAAAACTAGACTTGGAACTACAGCCACGTGATTATAACTACTTTTTATTCTTTTGTTTTCGTGAGTATATTCTTCTTCTTTCCTCAAAAACCACCATGGGCTGGAGCATGCATGTTGTGATCCCTAAGCTAACATCACATTCAGCTCTATTCATTAAAGTCTCCTTGGCCACAAATAACAATAAGAAAAACACCATGGCTTGAGTATTAGTGGCGAGATTAGACTAAATTTGTGAAGTGATTACTTATTTACAGATTTAGACCATGTTATAAAATTCTTTTTAACATTGGCCAGAGTCTTATACTGTCCAATAACATTAACTATGTGGAATAATATAAACGGGTTAAGATAAAAATAATAAAACGAGTAATTATTTTATACATGATTACACATTTTCATTTATTGTAGGTTGTTGGAACTTAATTTTACTATCATGTAAGAATCATCTTCATTATTACATTCGACAGCTAGAATCCCTAATTAATGTTAGGCTCATGCCCTTTCAACTGCTCCCATGGAAGGTTTTGTTTTATTCTCACATTGATATTCCAAAGCAAAACAATTAGCCAAAAAAATAAATAAATAAAGTTGCCTAAGCTTCTATTTAGTCTAACATAATATAGAGTCAAGTCACTTCTAATACATTATCCGCTATTTCAATCATTAGTGAGGAACATCACATAGCTGCAAAAAAAAATTTACATCACGGATGACCTCAATACATTTATAGAAAGAAAGAGATCATTTGATCATAACAAGGCTATGAAATATTAAACAATTTTTATAATCATGTTTTTTTTTATTGTAGTCTCTGTTTAATGATAGAGTAGCGCTATGTATCCCAAATTTATAATCCACCCAAATTTGTATTCTAAATCAAGGAGGATCATTGGATCAGTGGGTTCCATCAACTTTTTTCAATGAGACCCACTGATCTAATGGTCTTCATTGATTTGAAATGTAAATTTGGGATACATATCATTACTCTTAATGATAACCTACGATTTATTATTAAAAATTTTAGAAAAAAATATATTAGATAACATTAAGGTATTTAATTTTGGGAGCGGAGCAGTGAGTGAGCGCGTGGGTGGTTCAATTTTGAACTACAAATTTCCTAAATATGGAAATAAAATTCAAATAGTTGTCCCCACAAAATTATTGCAAAGTTACAAAAAAAAAATTTCCCTCTCTTCGTGACCCAACGATTTTCTCGATCATGCTAGGTATACAACCGTACGATCCCCATCTCCCTCCACGTGGCATGATCCCATCCAACCTGGCAAGTGTGTGGCAAAGAACTAGTCTTTGGGGTGGTTTTTGGATGCAACCTTGTATAGGCGGTAACAAGATGGGCTTTTACCGATAGGTCCGCTAACTGGTGTCAACGATATATAAGAGCCGGGGGTTTAAGTAAAGGTTGGGTACATGGGTGGTTTTCAGAGGGTTTTGGCAATCTGATCTGAGAGAGAGAGGAGAGAGAAAATTAAGAGGTAGCGTCCGAGACAATGTTTGTTTCCCGAGAAAGATAGAAAGAGAGGGAAAGAGAAAATGGGATAGAAAGTTACTTGATCGATGCGAATTCTGATTTGTTTTTTAGATTCGTTTGGTCTTTGAATTCTCCGATCTTACATTCGCCTGTAAATACTCCTCAAATTCAAGAAATTCATATGTGGTGGAGATATATGTTATTTGAACCAGAATTTTGGTGAATCTGACGAGAAATCGGTTCTCCAGAGGTGAGATGATCGAATTTTCTGGCTTCTGTTGTCTAATTTGACAAAATTCGCGTCTTCTTGCATAGAAATCTGAAGAAAAGTCAAGAAAATTTTGATTTTTATGTTGGTGGAGGTTGAATTGCATGGTCGCTGCATATTTTCTTTAATGTCCGTCAGTTTCTTTGCTACCAAAATCTTTGTGTCATGAGTTTTTTTATGTCGTGTGAGTATTTCGTTTGGAGTTGGTTATTTAGTTCCGATTCTGTCTTGGATTTGTTCTTTCCATTTTGGATTGCATTTCTGGTGGGTTCGATCTGAGGGTTGGGTCCTAAATTTCTAACAGATTGTCTAGAAAAATATGATTTTTCTTCATTCCCTGAAATTCGACTGAGATCTATTGTTTTCTCTCTGTTATTTCTTCTTTGACATCACCTCAATTATCGGGGGTCTTTCGTTTGATCTGCTACTTGGGTTTCGGATCATCTGTAAGTGTGTGCTACTCATGTTGAGTGATGGGTAGAATAATACTATTTTCGTTTTGGATGCTATTTTTGGATCTCCTGTATGCTCTAAGAGGGTTTTGCGAGGGTTTTTGTTTTATCCTCAAATTTCTTTATTTTTCATCTGCTTTCTTAAAAAGCCCATTTTCACGCTTAAACAAAGAAAAGGGGGGGGGGGGGGGGGGGGGGGGATGGGATTTAGATATGTAGAGATGGGATTTCTGGAATTCCATTGGCCTGAAATTGTTCAATTTTCTTGTGTTGGAACGGATTAGGTGGCATCAATTCTTCTCTTTGGCCTCTTTGTTATAGTTAATGTTTATACTGTTCCCTTTACCTGATAAACTCATGTTGTCCGAAATTGGCCTTGATGCATTTTTCTGCAAATCGTACATGTCTGAATGAAATTCATGTTTCTCGATTCTGTTTGTTTGAATTTTATGCAGATCAGACCGATCTGATGCAAATGAGGCTCTCCTTAGAATTATGAAAGTGGGAATCAATTTTCCTGGACAAATTTTCTCCAAATACTTCAGTTTTTTGTTTAATGCTGAGAGACATAGGACAATAACTGAATTTTTTAATTAACTAATGTTTGGGGTGGCCGTTAAATGGGTTGGTTGGAACTTTGGTTATAAGGCTCCAAGGTTATCTTCTCTTTGGGTCTTGTATCTATGGTATTCTTCTATTGAAATCTTGTAACGGTTTGTGGTCAGATTGTAGGTCTTAAGATTCCAATCTATTTCTTGTTTTATCATTCTGGGCATTGTTAATTTCTGGTTAATTGTGTTTGATATCTTCATGGGAATCCCAATTTGGCATTTTGCAACAAGAACATTCCAAGGGTTATTGTTGTTTACTGTGTTGCAATACTGGTATTGGGGACTCGTTGGCACAAAATAAATATGGTTTTTGAATATTTTTCTTTTCTCGTCAGACTCTAGCATGTTGCTGGATACTGCTGTTCTAAATTGTACAGTACTTTCTTTGGCCAATATGTATTTTTTCTCACGGTCAATTGTCTTTAGACCAAATTCAATTTCATAGTGACCTGTCTTCTTGGGATGTTGTCGTCATTGTTGGATTATTGGTTCAATATTCAGTTATATGATGTTGTTTGGGTTAATCCAAGTAAACAGGATGAATAATCATATAACTGAATATTGCCTTGTCCCAGCTATTTGGGTTTTTTTACATAGATTCTTATTTCACTAAACTGCTCTGTCTATGGGCATAACTAAGTTAAAAAACAGCTTACTTTCATGTCAACTTATTGTTCCTTGCCTAGCATTTCCCTCATTCCCTGATGTCTGTTTGTCACAGGGTCTTTAATTCTTGAGTCATCGGGCATAGGTAATTGGAGGGTGTTGGGCGCTGACCACTGAGGTCCTTTTGGACTGTGCAATAGATGAAAGAATGCTCATGTTTTGCATTTGATGAATTCTTTTTGGCATGATCTCTGAGATATGGTGTTGCAGAAGAGGTTACACTACGGATTTGATGGCTATCAGGTTCCTCCAACGCCTCGAGCTACTAGATCGGCTAGGGTAAATTTCATCTACCCTCGCTGAATAGGCCATAATTCTTTTTCATTTTCTAGTCTGTGTTTCTGAAGCACTGATTTATATTTATGATCCATTGTCTTTTGTTTAGAGGAGGCGTTCCTTTAGGAAAACAGTTGATAATCAAATGTGTGCATTTGACTTATTGGCTACAGTAGCCGGCAAGCTATTGCTGGAGGGAGAAATTTCCCCTAGTTCTACTGATACCTTAATCAACAAAGATCAGTATGCAGTTGCGAACGATTCTGTTAAAAAGGAACAACAGGATGAAGATAAGCCCTTCAAAGGAAAACCTTGTGATCCAGGAACCTGGGATCGGAGTTTCTTTGTTTCTGATATTGTGTCACAAGCTCCTGTTGTAAATCACAGTTTGAAGGAATTTCTTCATACTCAGAATGATACTTGTTCAGGACTTGCATCTGTAATAACTACTTCTGATTCCTCAGAAAAGGCTGGGTCTGCTGAAAAGTTTGTCAATGGGGAAAGCAAGATTGAACTTGGAAGCTTTGCTAGCAAAGTAGATGTGGATTCGTCTGGCTACAGAGTGTCTTCTGGTTGTATATTAGGGAATGAAAGTAGGAAACAGGTGAAAATTGACCTGCCAAATAATGGAAAAGCATCAGTTAGTACTAGGACTATGTGCTATTTGGAGGATCCGGTTGTTTGGGATGGAAAATCTCCTGCACTTGTCAGTTCGGATAATATTGTCAAGTTATTGTCGTGCAGGGACCATATTCCATGTCGTTCTCTCCCCATATGTCGGGGTGATGTAAAGTTAGGTATTAAAGATGATGACGAAAACTCTTCTGGGTGCACTCAACCTAGCACCACAAATAAGGCCTTCAGGCCACTACCACGTATTGGAGACCGAAGAATAAGGAAGCTGTTGGCGTCCAAATATTGGAAAGTAAATCCAAAATTGAAGAATGGGGAATGTTTCAATGCTGGTAAGTGGTTGTTTAGTGATTCATTGTGCAGAGTCCCTCATATAATTTGATGTAATCATGCAAAATGCATGACTCATTTAGCTGGATCTTATAATCATGTGTCCAGGTGCAGCAATGAGGCCTGTTTATCGGAGTAAAGTTGGTTACAAACGTCAAAGGTCTCAAAGGGATTATCCTTTCAAAAAGAGGAAATTTTATTATTGTAGCTCAGTATCAAATGATGGAGGGAGTAATAATGACAGCATATCTAGTTCACCTGGGAAGGGCTCTAATGGAGATGCTTCTGGTTTGGGTGCCATTTTGCATGGAGGTTTTATTTCTATGAGTCCTCTCTCTGTTTTCTAGTTCTTTTCAGTGGTTGAAATTTATTGCCGTTTCAGCTTTTCACATATTAATTCTAACACCTCATGCAGCAACTGGGACATCAGCTTATGCAGCAGGTCAACATGTATCCTTCCAATCCAGGGATTCCCATGGTATGAGAGCCTTTGCTGGAGTTATTGATGTGTCTCTTTTGGTTTGATCAGTGTCTGAAAAAAGACGTTCTTATAAGAGGATGTTTTTCTTATTACTCAGTGAAGCTCAAGATCAAGTCCTTTAGAGTTCCAGAGCTTTTTGTTGAGATCCCAGAAACTGCAACTGTTGGTTCTCTAAAGGTATGGGATCATTAATTTTTAATATTCAAATAAAAACTTTTTCAGCTGCATAAAAAAGTTAAATCAGAGGAGTTGCGACAGAATTGATGCCATTGTTTGCAATTTTATGTTTACGAGGTACCTCATGCTGACCATGCAGTCAATCACTTTCATGCATTTTACGTTCATGGTGTTGGGGATAACTTCAACTAAACTTTTGTGGTCAATATCATGGGTTCTTATATATTTTCTATTTTTGTATTCTCAATTTGAACAGTGGACATTAGGTTCTACAGGACCATATATTGTGAGAGCCACGAAGTCATGTTTGACAAATACATTTACATGTTATTTTCCTTATTCTGTCATTTTATACTTCGTTATGGTAGTCCAAGTTTTGGGAACTCCTCTAATTGTGAGTTTTTGAGAATTGCAATTCTCTTCTTTGTTTGGAAGGAAGATTTCGCATCCATGGATTGTAATATTCTGATACACTGACCTCGATCTTCCTTCTCATTCTGCATTGATATGTATTTTCAAATCTCACCAATTTGCTGCCGAATTAAAGATCTTATGCTGATATGGTGTGAATATTCTGCAGAGGACAGTTATGGAGGCAGTTACTGCAATACTCGGTGGTGGACTGTGTGTTGGTGTGCTTCATCAGGGGAAGAAGATTAGAGATGATAATAAAACTCTGCTGCAGACTGGAATATCTCATGATAACAATCTGGATGCTCTGGGATTTACACTGGAGCCTAATCCTTCACATGCTCCTCAATCTCTCTGTCAGGAAGATCGCCCCTCTCTATTCCCTTGGGATACACCTCAACCAATAAAAAGGTAATTGACTTGTTCTATGATTTTCATTTGTTGCTAGCTGTAGAACTTGCTCACATTTAATAGTGTTTTACCCTTCATAGTTTTTGTTGTTTATTTGCTAGTTTGTTTTCTTCTACTTGGTCATGAGTTCATTTACTTCTCTGAATCTCATCACACCTCCTCCTGACAGGGCCGCACTTCTTTTCCTCGTGGTATTGCCCCTCTTTTCTTTTATATTATTTTATTTTTTGCAATAAAGTTGAATATTGGGTAAACTAGAATGTCAAACTTTATTTGTCTTGGTCTTATTTAGAATCCTAGTCCTTGTAATATCTTCCAGATCGACGGACAGATGACCTAAGTCAGTTATCTAGAGGCTAATAATGTGTAATGCTTCACTACCAGTTATCTGCCTGTTCCCAATGAAGTTCATGACGCAGTTCAGCTTGGGACTTCTGATACATCACCAGATTACCGGATAACAAATTTTGGCAACTTTATTGACAGCGATCATGATTCAGCACCTTCCCCTCCTGACATGTCGATTGATAAAGGCACAACGGATTCAAGAGCATTGGTTGCCATTCCGGCAATGAATGTGGATGCCCTTGCTGTGGTTCCCATGAGGAAATCCAAGCGATCTGAGGCTGTGCAGCGTCGCATTCGTAGACCTTTCTCCGTGTCTGAAGTGGAAGCACTTGTTCACGCTGTAGAGAAGCTTGGAACTGGAAGGTATGTTTGGTGTAAACTATTTCAGGCATGCGTGATATTGTAGCCAAAACAATCTGTACCTACAAGGGATCCTTTTTTATGGAGCAAAGTGGTCTCAAAGAACGCCTGAAAATTCAAGATCATATATTTTTTATTATTATTAGACACTAGTTCTCTATGAATTGTTTTCCTTTCTTCACTTCTGATATTTTAGTCATTCTGCAGATGGCGTGACGTAAAAATACGAGCTTTTGATAATGCAAAGCATCGAACTTATGTGGATTTGAAGGTAAAGAAGTGACTTGCCATCTCTCTGCATTTATATCAGACACTCTTCGGTTTAAGTGGACCCAAAAATTACTCTTCGTACTGGATAAATCTGATTTCTTCACTTACCATTCCGGTCATTTTTCCTTTTTTACACACCTTCATCTGAATGAAGTTGTTTGATTGTTTGCTGGCCACTACATTCTTTCTTTTGAAATTGACTTTTACAGATTGGTTCCCTAAAGGCACTCAGTTTAATTGGTCTTGCTTGCCTTTGTGGCAAATGATTTGGTGGTCTTTATAGCTTTATCTATAAAAACAACTGCCCCAAGGAATCTCTTGAATTTCAGGCTTGCTCGGTTTTACTTGCACACTTTATTATCAATCTATTCGTTCCCTGGTGATACCTAATTATGTCTAGCTAATGAATATTTTAGTAGCTCTGAGTGTCTGGGTTGGAAAGTAACAAAAGCAACATACTGTAGTCTTGATATAGAAATGATTTGTTCAGTTAAAGTGTGGTTACGTGATGTGGCTTTTTATTTGTTTGATTGGGGGTGCTGTGCAGGATAAGTGGAAAACGCTGGTGCATACGGCAAGAATATCCCCTCAGCAAAGGAGAGGAGAGCCTGTGCCCCAGGAGCTACTGGACCGGGTACTAACTGCCCATGCTTATTGGTCCCAGCAGCAAGCCAAGCAACATCTCAAACAGCAGTCAGAGACTTACCTCCTCCTCTGAAGACTTCACCAATACAAAGACAACAGCATGAGTGGAAAAAGCATAGGTAGGTAATTACAGATTGGGGGGGGGGGGGGGGGGTTTCGCCAATTTTTTTTTAGTTATTCTTCTTCCGATTATGTGAAAAGTAATGACAAAGGGAAGTAAAACAGGTAGTGTAATTTTACTATAGCTCTTGCGGTGATCCTCTCCTGCGTGACGAGGTTGGCGCTTGTAAATGGTTTGACAGAATAAGAGCTTGCTAACAGAATTTTTTTGATGCCTAGACATTGGCATTTTCTTCAATCTCTTTTCGTGGTTTTTTTTTTTTTGCCTTAGGTGGGGTCTGAAAATTGTTGTTCATTATTGTAGTTGTTTCCTGATTGTAATATCTGCTTGGCAGTAATGCTATTGTTCTGTTGACTATTGTACATTCTTGGCAGGTTAGAAAGGATTTCAGTTTGCTTGTAATTATCACTTTTTTTATGGAAGTAAATTTCAGATTAACCTTGAGCAACTGCGCGGATTCAGATTTTTTTCAATATATTTTATCTGTGTGATGGTGGATCTATTTGAACAAATTAGGTTATTAGTCGATTGATCTTAGTCTTAGGTCAGCTATTATTATTAGAAATTAAGATACAATATATTAGAGAGGGTCGCAGTCCAACCTTGGAATCAATGTTCCTTTCTTAGTAAGGTTTACCTAACCGGTTTAGTGGGAATTTGGCTTTATAACAGAAGGCAACTGAAATAGTTGTATTTTACTAAGACCATTACCATTAGGAAAGCATGCGAGTTCAGGTGATAAGTGTTACATATAACAAAAAAAGAGTCGTAAATTCAGGCGCGATGAATCTTGACAACTTTTTAGAGTTAGATTATAAGAGATTTATTTTTTATGAATATTCTAATTTTGATATAAATGATCTGTTTTTGACCAGACTAAAAAAAAATTAGTTAGGAGTGTCAATTGTGTCCGGTTAAACGGGTGACGGATGAAAAATATATAAACTCATACACAACACGTTTAATAAACGGGTAAAAAATTTCAACATGAACACGATCCGTTTAATAAATTTAAAAAAAAATTATATCAACAAATTTTAATATTCTATTTTTTTACTACTAATTACACTTACTTCAAAACAGAGGAATTTTAAATCAAATCTTATAAAAATAAAACTTGAAAGCTTTAAAAAAAAAAAAGTAAGAGACTATTATCTTTTATAGGCAACTCACCCTCCCTATCTCCCCTTATTTTTCAATGTAGGACAAAAACAAAAGACATTGGTTTACCTTTATCTTTAAACTACTTTACAACTTCTGTCCTTTGTCTTGGAAAAATAAGACTTGAAGGCTTTAAAAATAAAAAGCAAGAGGCCATTGTCTTTTATAAGCAACTCAACCCTCCCCATCTCCCCTCATTTTTAATGTGGGACAAAAACAAATGACATTTGTTTGTCTTTGCCTTTGAAGTGCTCTCCAACTCTTCTCCTTTGTCTTTAAACTATTACTTTACTTTTTTTTTTTATTGATTTCTTCACTTCTCTTTTTTGCTAATTTTTTAAAATAATTATTAATTTATAATTATATTAATTTTATTTAAACAGATAAACGTGTGATAAACGGTTTGACAGGTCTCACCCAAACATAACCCGTTTATTAAACGCGTTTGGCGTGTCAACCCGTTTATTACCCAAACCCGTTAAGATCTTACCCAAACCCGTTTAATTTGTGTCGGTTAATCGTGTCATGTCGATTTTTGACAGCCCTAAAATTAGTCAAAGTGCATGTACGTTGGTCTGAATACTCCTGACTAGCAAATAAAAAAAAAAAAATGAAGAAGATATGGCCTTTCTATCGTGACACTATTGGATTTCGGGACCTCTATACTAGAAATGTCTAGACACATTTTCCATGGTATGGCATTTCGAGGGTAATACTAAATTTTTGTTCCGTTGGCTTATTAATATTTTTAAGGTTTTAGGATAACATTACTCAACACACTGTTATCCACCAAATGATTCCATGATTGCTTGTTTATGACTAATGGAACAGAAATAATTGATTGCTTGCTTTCCCTAATTTTATGAATCTATTACCAACATAATAGATTCATATAATCGACCCTCAATAATTGAAATAAATTTTTTGATTTATTTACCCAAAAAAAAAATAAATTATCGACTTGAGTGGAGACAAAATGTAAAATTTCTGACTCAGTAGTAGAAGGAGGTGGTCATAAAGTATTATACACTTAAATGTGATGAAAAGGAGAGTCCTCCTGATGGCTTTGCCCTTCGCCCCGCCCCGCCCCGCCCATGGAAGTAGCAATTGTCTACTAACCCATTGCAGAACCTTGCTGGAATCTTTCATGGATGGGGAAGGATATGCTTTTTTATTGTATGGGCCAAACAATTGATTGATTGAGAGTGTTAGTGGGCATAAACTTATAAACACCGACTTGAATAAAATATATAATCCTGTCACTAAAAAGCTATGTGATGTAAGTCATTTTTCTTTTGCGTATAGTTTAAGGTTGATCATGATGAGTAAGATTCCTATCTTGTGGCTATAAAGACGAGGGGTCCCTTTTTGAACAATTTCTTTCCTCGGCTTGAGGGTTCTCAATAACGATATAAAAATAATAAAGTTTAGTAGTTGAATGAGAACTTTCAAATGGAATCAATTATTATTATTTTTTGTGATTGTTTTTATTGTGTAAGACGGATTAGTCGAGGTGTATATAAGTTGATTTGGACACGTTTGACTATTGAATTAAAAGAAAAATTTGCTATGAGAATACTCTATTTTTTGTGGTTGGATTTTCATGATGTGTTGGGATAAAAGATAGGGTGGGGGGCTTGTTTGATGCATACCATCTCTCTCTCTCACACACGTGGGCGAGCGGGCGGGGACTAATTTGCAACGTTAAACCCTTCAGCTAAATATTCCTCCCCAAAAGAAAAAGTAAAAAAAATGAAGAGAGAAAGAAAGCAATTGTGGGATCTTTTGAATTGTTATTGTTTTTGGTAGAATATTTATGCAAATCTTATCTGAATTCATGTTCATGATTATATCCGACAACTTTGTACTTGTTGTTAGCTACTTAACGCAATACTCATCTTTTACAAGTATCGGAACAATTGTGCAAAGGACTATAATCGGTTGACAATTGGTTTAATAGTTCATTTTGTTCTGCAATCTCAATAATTCTTTACAATAGAGTAGCGTGCTCAGAGAAGCTTCAAAGATAAAAGTCTATTTGCTCTTCATACTAAAGGTGAGATCACGCACACAAAGACAAAGGAAAGGCCCAGACTTCTCAAGCTACTTGGGTTGGCCTACTTATCTTGGGCTCTTAGGAGTTTAGCCCATGTTTTATATGGATTGGGCTAAAGTCGTAGCAGTGTTAGACATATATGGTTTGGGCCAAACTCAAGGTGGTGAACTTAGTAGGGTTTGATTTTAACAAAAAAGAAATAGAAATTGTTGTAAGAATGCCCATTTGTTCACAAGATGCATTTTGATTTGGATCAATATCCCTTTCAATACATTTTTCTTAATACTTAATTATTTATAATGAATTCAAGTGGACATTCCACTAATACAAAGCTGATATTCTGTCTTATGTGAAATGGAGTGAAAGATGTATAGGAAGGGATCCCTATCTCATTCATCTTAACCTAAGTTTTTATAGTTTAAAAACTGGAAACTAGTTGATAACCAAATTCCATATTGACTAATAAAGTGGACATGGAGTGATACATAAGTGTGAGTTTTAGACGTTTATTATACAACGCATTTTAAAGTCATGCGGACTTTGAAATGCAACCCAGAAGACACTATACAACCCAAAAGACACCACTCATGTTTGCTCATTCTTGAATCGACATAAAATTCAAATTCAAAGCTGGTGGAAAATTCATATTCGATCGAATCAATGCGAATTTCAATTCCAAAAGGTAGAAATTAAGATTGGGGTAAGAAATTAATGACCCATTTTAACAAATGAATTATCCAAAAAAAATAAGGTTGAGTCTAAACCATACTCGAGCCCAACTGGGTCGGGGTGGGGTGACAACGCGGTTGAACCCAAGCCCATTTAGGTCCTCTATGTGCACAAAAGTGGGTTGCTACTTGGGGTCCAACTTTTAGAGAAAACTTGGGGTCCAACTTTTAAAGAAAACTTGCGGTATGCATGCTCATCAAATCTTCCTTGCACAACTAATATGTGATTAAGTCAAATTTCACGTTGCGCCGACCTCTATTTTCACATTTTAAGAGGTTCATTTTACATTCTATTTTCTCATTCACCTCTTGTTCGATTTGAACAAGTGAATGCATTATATTATTCTCTACACAAAATAAAATATGAACACATAAAAATTTACTCAAAAATAATAGATCAGTCCCAATTCAATTTAAACTCATAGTTGAACAAAAATAAAATTTTTAGACCCAAAAACCTGATTTAGGCCAACACTGGTGGACGTCGTTCCAGACATAATAGCTTGGACCATTGGGTGTGGTGAATATGATCAGTTGTCCATGATTTCTAATAATCATCAATTAGTACAGGAAATATCCGCCCTTTAAAAAGATAAGATACAATCAGGTGGTAGGTCAAGGACCACCATATCTTCTTGCTGTCCCGAGAAAGATATTTTAATATTATTTTGGGGCATAAAGCAGAACCGATAAATCACACTTTTTTATTTTTAATATTAATAATAAATTTAATTTTTAATTTTTTTAAATACAAAAATATTAATTAAAATTTTATATTCAAGTTTTTGTTACCATATTTGACCATAATAGTAAGAGAGAGAAAGAATAATTGAAAAATTATGGTAGTACATTAGGGGTTAAACCTAGATTTTTTTAGTAGTTTAGTTTTACCGTTAATTTTTTTTTTATTTAAAAAAAAATAAATTTTAAGGCCTTTTAATTTTATAACTGAATTAATAAATCTAATCTATTTAAGTTGAAATAATTTGTTTAAGCATGAATTTAAATTTTTTATTTGAACTATTACTGTACACCTATAAATTATAGGGCTTCCTTGACGTGAAGCCTTAATTTTTTTTTTGTTGGACTTGTATTTTTATAAAAAAATTTTGTAGGGTTTAAAATATTTATAAATTTAATTTTTTTACATAGACTATTTATGATATTTAAAGTCCTTCAAAAATGGGGTTTAAAGTCTAAAGTTTTTTGATAATCCTGTTGAGCCGCCCCCGGCTTTCCCACGCCCAAGTTGGCAAGACAATCCCCACATTGATTCACTTCTCTTAGCATGTGAGCCAGTGTGATGTTATGGGTCGTAATAATGAAGTTGCAATTCTCACAAGGACTTTGAAAGAGTAGCTGACTGGTTGATTTCCAGAAAGCAGATTGAAGGCTTGTGTGGAATCCGTCTCAATAATGTAATTTCTTTCTCTATTAAGAATCAGCTACAAGTCTTTGTAAATAATAGCCCAGAGTTCCGCTTTA